GGTAGGCCATATACATTCACTTTAAAAATGATGTAGTTTTCGTGGTGTAGTCGGTTATCACATCCGCCTAACACGCGGAAGGTCCCCGGTTCAAACCCGGGCGAAAACAGTTTTACAAAAGCTTCTTTTTTAGTTCACTGATTATACTTTTAGATATATGTTTAGGTAGGCCATAAAAGTGTACTTTCGAAATCATACAGTTTTCGTAGTGTAGTCGGTTATCACATCCGCTTTACACGCGGAAGGCCCCCGGTTCAAACCCGGGCGAAAACAGTTGTTGGTTGAACAAGTTGTTCTAGAACAACTTTTTTTGTTCGTTAATGATACCTATAGATGTATGCTGAGGTAGGCCATATACATTCACTTTAAAAACGATGTAGTTTTCGTGGTGTAGTCGGTTATCACATCCGCCTAACACGCGGAAGGTCCCCGGTTCAAACCCGGGCGAAAACAGTTTTGCAAAAACTTCTTTTTTAGTTCACTGATAAATCTGATGATACTTTTAGATATACAGGGTCTTTCAGGTTTTTGTAGCAGGACTTTAACAGTAGATAGATCTTTTAAAATTAGCACAAAATCATATAAACATATGTAGGTCGACACACGCTTTGTTTTGAAGATACAGGGTGTTTAAGTTAAATTTTTTAATTGATTTTTATTTAATATTACACGTGTATTTCAACTGATTCTTTTCAAATTTGGTATACGGAGGTTTATTGACATGAGAAAGACCATTATGGAGTCCGTTTTACTATAGCCGGTAGAGGGCGCTCTGTAACGTATTCTTTACGGATTAAAATAACAATAACTTTTCTGACAGTATACTTTTTGGCTTTTTGAATAAAAATTCTTATTCTCGGTACTTTTTTAAGCAAAGATGGTACTCTTACCATAATGCGCTAAAGTTGATCGTTTTCAAGATAATCCGCTTTTTATTATTCGGTACAGACCGATTTTTTTTTGAGGATTGTTAAAGATAGGTATAATAATGTTTGCCATTGAAACAAAGTAGGTAAATTCACTAATGTTTTAGTTTATTGTACTAAGTGTCAAATCAGCAGTAGTTGTTGATCGGTGTTAAATTAATTTTTCTTATTCGTTAACGTGTTAAATTCAATTTTCTTGTTTATTTCTTGTTTGCTGCATAAAAACTTTATAAAATGCCGTTTATTTTTCCTAACCATGTGTTAGCGGATATTCATTTTGTTTATGGGTTTGCAAACGAAAATTCAACAGAAGTAGCCCTAGAGTATAGGAAAAGATATCCAAATAGAAGACATCCGCATTCTTCTGTGTTCCTGAAAGTGCATAGACAAATAGTTGAACAAGGACTAAATAATGACGGGTAGATCGTAGATCGTAATAATGACAATGTTACACTGCAAAGAAACTTTAGAAGAAGAATTTGGCGTGAGTTCGACAGAGACCCCACTACGAGTGTTAGAAGAGTTTCGAATGACTTACGAATTTCTAGGGCGCGTGTTTATCGCCTTTTAAAACATGATCATAGACATGTTTATCATTTATAACTCTTGCAAGGATTGCAACTAGGCGATGAAGAACGGCGTGTAACGTTTTGTCGGTGGATTGCTAAAGCATCAACAATCGAGATTTTTTAAATAATGTAATGTAGATTATAAACTTTCACAATTTACATGTTTTGCTATCCCTACGCAATTCGGCCACGAAACTTCCAACATGAATTTAATGTCAACGTCTGGGTAGGTGTTTATAATAATCATCTTTTCGGGACATACCTTTTGCCACCACAACTAACCGCTGCGGCGTTCTTGTAATTTTTAATAGCTGAACATGCCAATATGTGGGATGACTCGGATGACATTGATTTAGCTTTAAGAAGAAAGGCCTGGTTTCAACTTGATGATAGTACAGCTTATCATGATTGGGTGGTAAGAAATTTTCTTGAAAGATGGATTGGTCGTGGTGGACCAGTGGCATGGCTCCACAATATGTAGATCTTAATGCTTTAGACTTTTTGTGTGGAGATATTTGAAAGGAAAATTGTATGAGACACCTGTTCCCACAAGAGATGAAGTTTTAATAGGATTAGGAATGCTTGTAATGACATACGGCCGTTCTTAAATACCGTTACTCGATTTGTAATTCGTCGGTCAGAATTATGCAAGCAAAATTTGTTACATTTTCAACAATTTCTTTAATTTTTTTCTTTTATTCTTTAGATTAAAAAACATTAATAAACCAAAACATTAGTTAATTTACCTACTTTGTTTCCATGGCACACATTATTTTAACTATCCTCTAAAAACATTGGTCTGTGTCGAATAATAAAAAGTGGATTATCTTGAAAACGATAAACTTTAAGGCATTTTGATAAGAGTACCCTTTTTGCTTAAAAAGTACACAGAATAAGAATTTTTATTCAAAAAAACAAAAAGTATACGGTCAGAAAAGTTATTGTTATTTTAATCCGTAAAGAATACGTTAGAGAGCGCTATAGTAAAACGGATTTCATAATCGTTTGAATCGGTTGAAATGCACGTGTAATATTAAATAAAAATGAACTTAAAAATTTAATTTGAACACCCTGTATCTCCAAATCAAAGCGTTTGTCGACCTATGTTTATATGAAGTTTTTGTATTAATTTTAAAAGATCTATCAGCTGTTAAAGTCCTGCTACAATAACCTGAAACACCCTGTATATTTAGATAGGCCACGAAAATGTACTTTCTAATTCTAAATCATATAGTTTTCGTAGTGTAGTCGGTTATCACATCCGCTTTACACGCGGAAGGCCCCCGGTTCAAACCCGGGCGAAAACAGTTGAATCGCTTATTGCTGAAACAACCTAAGTCACTTTTTGGCCATTTTGGGTTATCCATGTAAACTTTACAGTTTCGACCATTCCCCATTGTTTGGTGCTGAAGGAACTTATGTGCTGATAACTGTTATCGAATTACAGCCATGTCGCCACAGCCGTTTACTGCTTAAACAACATAAGTCAAACAGTTGCACAAAAACTTCTTTTTTAGTTCGCTGATGATACTTTTAGATATACAGGGTAATTCAAATTCGTCCCCCACCATTGGGATCTCAGAAACCATAAGAGATACATAAATGGTTAAATGGGGGCATCATTTTGCAACAAAGTTTTTGGATCTAGCCACTTTAGTTTTTGAAATATAATCTTTCATTTCTTGCCTATAACTCCTTTATTTTTCGTTTTTTCATGAATCTTAGAAAACATTCTTAAGGCAACTTTTTATGAAAAATGTCATGACACAACTAGAAATTTTCTCCGACGTTTGGTTTTCGTGAAACTATCATCAGGTTTTTTCCTTTTTCAATGTTTTTTTAAATGAAATAAATTGTGTGACATATTATTGAAATCAGAATTAATTATCCTATTTTTTCTGTGTTTTTTTTTGGAAAAACGTGCATTTTAGAGAGTAAGTTGATAGAAACTTTTTTCAAATTTTTGGACAAACTATCACATCCTGAACTCCTGCGCATATATTATGAATAGAGCTCGGATTCTTCGGTACCTAAGTCCACTCGACCAGTTCACGAATGTTGCGTTATTGACGAGCGACGCATAGCCAAGGTCCCGAGTTCACTGGTCTGCAGCATTGTCATGGTAATCCATAGGCGCGCGTTAGCAAGGGTCTGTATTAACGCTAAATAAGCAAGTAATTGTGTACTTTATTATAATTTTTCTCGACTCCCAGTTCCTATTTGGTGAAATGATTGAATAATAATGACTTTTTCTAAATTTACTTCAGAAATTGACGAGCTAACTCGACGTCACAACTGGTAACTGGCACAAATGTAACTGCTAGAACTAACAGGCCATATTTACAAGATATTTCTTGGTTGCAAAATGCTACATTGTTGTCAATTAATGTGAACGTATCGCCAAAAATCGCTATTAAGTGTGCCATTGGAATAAATTATAAAAACTAAAACAATAGGGTAACTCANTACATGTTAACCCCCGTAACTTCGCTGGGGATGATCTAGAGCGAATGGGAAAAAACCCTTAACTAATATTTTTGAACGTGCTGGAAGTATACTTAATGCCGCCAAAATCGATAGGGTGGTTTTTAAATAATTCCAAAAAAATAGGGGTAGTTCGCCCTTCTTAACCCTCTGGTATATGTGTGATACATCAAAAGAAAGCTCTTTTAAAATGAATATCAGTTACAATTTACCAAATTTTGATAGCACTTTTCATTTTTAAAATATAAGTGAAAACGTACTTTTTCTCCAAACTTTCAACCCCTATAACTCGCCCCAGGGGCTTTTACCGCACGTATAAAAAAATGTACGAACCTTATTTTGGCCCATTCTATGACTGTACCAAATTGCATCGAAATCGGTGAGACACAGTTGTGACACTTCCCTTGTCAGTTAATAAAAATCAAAATATTAACTCTTAATAGAAGTAGTTTTAAATTATAAAGCCTAAAACAACAAGGTACTTTTAATTAAAACAAATCAAGAAAATATTCGATGATAATTAAATAAAATATTCAATACACTCCGTTTGAAATTATAAAAACTGAAACAATAGTACAATTCTAATTCAGAAAATGATGAATTTAATGATAAATAAAAAGGATATTAAACGAATTGGTACTGAATTCTTTGAACGCAACACGGATAAATGCAGGCCTGGCATGCTTACAGATGTGTAAGCGATCGGAACGGTAGATCGCGTGGTGAGAGTGTTTTTATGATCGCGCCCCATAGGTTCTGCACTGGCGACGCTACTGAGACGGTACTGAAATATCCGAGATTTGATTATGAAACACCCTGTATATTTAGGTAGGCCACGAAAATGTACTTTCGAAATCATAGTTTTCGTGGTGTAGTTGGTTATCACATCCGCTTTACACGCGGAAGGCCCCCGGTTCAAACCCGGGCGAAAACAGTTCTAGAACAACTTTTTTTGTTCGTTAATGATACCTATAGATGTATACTGAGGTAGGCCATATACGTTCAATTTAAAAATGATGTAGTTTTCGTGGTGTAGTCGGTTATCACATCCGCCTAACACGCGGAAGGTCCCCGGTTCAAACCCGGGCGAAAACAGTTTTGCAACATTTTTTTTTGTTTATTGATGATACCCTAGCGATACATTTTAATTAAGGTCTTTCCTTTTTGGATCAAGATAATTGATTACAAATTGTTTTTAACTGGTGGATCTTATAGTAAGTTGGTTTGTTCCACAGTGCTAAACGATATTGAAATTAAACTTACTCATAATTTATAATATTACAAGTGTTACATTAATCGGACTAACAAGTTGTTTTTTTGCATACGTAATTAGAAGAATGGTGTTTGTAGTGTCAAGTTTCGATCACCTGCACATTTTATAGTTATATATATGCTGTTCTTCCAGACAAGTGGGTCCGTAGATCTTTGGGTTCTAGTACTCCTAAAACTCAAACCGTTAAAGATAAACATTTTCGGTCTGAATGTTTTTAAAATGGCCGTCACTGCTTACCGGAAGTAATGATTGTTGACACTTGGTGCTTTTAGTTGTACCTGATCAGTTCAAACTAAGTTGAAGGAAAAAGTGTTATAACCTTAATCGCAAATAAAATTCAAACCTAATAAATACACACTTTTACCAAAAGAAGTCTTGCTTACCTATTGTTAATACTGCATAAAAAACAATTGCACCACAAAATTAAAAAAAAATATTTCTATAGCAAATTAATGTGAATTTAGCCTTCAAAATAGTTACAATTATATACATTCAACGACTCAAAACTCAATTTTCTTACATTTTTCTTATTGCCACACTTTTAAAGTTACACACATTAGCATTGATTGCTTTAAAGATTATACTTATGTAGTGCCCGTTACGTTACGGGTAAACAATTTGAAAAGCGAAGATAAAACACTTTTTTTTATAAAAGTCTTTGCGGTTTTTGAATTTATTTATACTAGTAATTTATTAATACCGCGATCGCACCAAGAAAAAGTGGAACAACTTATGTAAATAAATAAGGGCGTTAAAAATTTGGGGCGAAGATGCGGAGATATTTTTATACTTGGTTTGAAAAATTTTAATGCTAAAGGTCTCGGTCTAAATATTTGTACAAATTGCTTAACATTCGTTATCGATTTTACTTACTAATCTCATCTTATTATTTTTAGATATAGTATTAGATACAATAATGTTTATGTAAGTAAAATCGTTTTTCTTTGTATTACAATGGAGAAACAAAAATTGTTTACTGTTTAACTCATAATTTAAATGTTCCTCTCGTAACTTTTGTTTACTTTCACTGGAATCATGAATTGCAAATAATTCGTCACCTGTTGTCATTCGAGGTTCTCGGGATCGTTTTACGGTAGAACATCGAACGTGACAACGAATAAATATAATTTCATCGCTCGAAAGAGTTTATTACTGACAGCAAGCAATCTGTCTACTAATTTATTTTTACCGATAGAAAGAACCTACCGGTTTTTTAGATTTTTGTTTGATCATTTTTTACACCCTTTTTTAATTGTATCAAATAACCTTGTATGGGGTTAAATTTCGGTTTATTATTACTTCTCACTACCAGGAGACCATAACCAACGGAGATAGATGCCACTTACACGGCGAATTCGGCAATACAATGCCGACGAGAATCGGGGTCAGGTCATACGATATCGATCGGAGCTTTAAAAGCACGTTTCAAGAGCTTACCAGTCTACTTTCACTTTTAACTTTCCGAAACTATTATAATTTTTAAATCCTGACGTTGACCTCGAGGACAAGTTTAATAACCTTGACATTCTAGTGTTAAGAAAATTTCGTTGAAATTTTAAGTGTTATCGAAGAAATGGAATTAGTGAATTAAAGCAAATAAAAAATTTATACTAGATAATGATGTAAATATCATTAAAAATTTATTTCAACTTACAATTCGTTGCCAATTTTAGATGGATAGAATTAAAAGTGAAGCTCCATTCGTTGAATGGAAAATATTGATTCTTTCTACCACTAGAGAAGCACGCTTTAATGTGAGTTTAATGTACTCTCTTGGCAGAATTGAAAATATGGCTCCAATCAGACAATGAAATTAGAAATTAGTTAAATATACTTCGTTCTCTTCATACGTGCTTTTTTGAAATTCTATTCATTAATGTATTACTTATTAAAAAGAACATGAACATACAAGTATAATGATTAATAACAATATAAAATAGTAATAAAAAATCGTTGACAAAGCATATATAAAATGAAAGAAACTAGTTTTCTAATTTATTTCGTATAAATATACTTTATCCGCAATCACCTTATAATTGAAGTTTTATCCACACTTATGAACCGTATAAAGTACCACTTTATACACTAGTGGAATAAAGTTACTTTATTTCACTTAATATATGCCAGGTCGGCACCTTTATTGGCTAGTAAAGTTGTTGAAGTGCGCTTCATACTATGGCCGCTATAAACTTTTGCATTTGCCAGATTCAAAAACGAAGCAACTGTTGAAGGAACTTTAGACAAAGTGTTAATTCCAACAGGTTGTGATCTCTTCACAAATACGATTATTAGCAAGACTTCCTCATTTATTGTTATTACCCCCCGTTTTTCTTTCCATTCATTAAACTCGGAAAATACTTTTTCGTAATGTTCCCTAGACTTTGCAGGCAATAATTGGACAGTTGCTTCTTCAGCTTTCTCAAGAATTATCTTGGAAACATAATCACTTTCTTTCATATTTCACCAATTTTACCTTTACAACTTTCACACTTTTACAAATATGTTACAAATGGAGTCGATAAACAATCGAAAATAAATAGCAACAATTCAACACCTCCCAATGTTTTTTTAGTTAATTGTAATGGTAATGATTTTTGAGGTGACAGCCGCTATCAGAGTGAAATGTCAAATCATTTTTTGATAATCTCAGCAAGGAAACATTCTGCGTGGATAAAATGCTGTCTAAAACACTTACACAATAAATAACTATTAATAATTAAAAAATCATTATAGATATTGAGTTTATATAAAAATGTGGAGAGTCGCAAAAATTTGTATCGTTTGATGTAAGTATAATTTTGAGTTGCCTCAAATTTAATCATGAAATATAGAAAACTGTCGTAAATTTAAATGTAAAAAGCAGGACGACTCGCAGTGTTTTAAACTACATTAGGTAGGATAATCACTGATAGACGTATCTGTCTCGCTTGAATTGGCGTTATTCACACGCTTAGGAAAAACGGTGCATATTGAATGCCTTAATCACAGCAAGATCACACAAAAAACTTCCATTTAATTTTCTTCAAAATGTAAAGGTAGTCCCCAAAATAGTCGTTTCTAGATTGAACAGCATTGTGGTCACTAATGATCCCAATTATGTTATTTTGATTTTGTACTTGAAATATCGGTGTAAACGTTTCCTGAACGGTATGTCATTCGCTTCGTATATGATGGCAATGTGTAGTGTTTCTGTAAATCCCTAACATTTCTACCTCTCCATCTGTTCGGTACTTTAGCTAATCCTTATATTGAACTGGGTAATATTTTAAGAACGATGTTAAGAACATTGCATTTTGACCTACAGTATCTTTTTTGTGTAGAAAACATGTCCATGTCCAGTGGCGTAGAAGTTGGGGGGAAAAACAACCACTACCCCTTCAAAATCTTCACCAATTATAACCTTAAAAAAATATTTTCTCGCACAAAACTTAGCTTATAATGAGTAGAAAATGCTTACAAACACTGTTTTCTGTACGAGAAACGGTTCCGGAGATATTCGCAAAAAACGATTTTTTTTATTAAATTTCGCCACAGAAACTTGCTTCTGGGTAAAGTTTTTAGCAATTTATGACGAGTATTATCTTCGATGTACCACATTACAAGCCACTGATTAGTTGTTCGTAGTCAATACAACCATTTAAAGAGTGATAAAGAGAAGATGATATAACATGTTTTTCTAGGTTACTTAAAATGGTATGCAACCAAAACTTTTTCATTTTTAATAATAATTATTACCAGATGAAAGATGGTCTCCCTATGGGTTCGCCCATCTCAGGTATAATAACTGATATTTATGTCAATCATTTCGAAAACAAGCTTTTCTCTGATAAATATAAGTAGATATCTTTATCATTTTTGAAGGTAATGCAGCAAAACTTTCTGCATTAAATAATATTTTTAATAATATTAATAACCTGCAGTTCACATCTGAAATTGAAACAGACCGTAGACTGAACCTTTTAGACTTGGTGATTTCAAGAGATCCTGATAATAGCTTGAACTTTGATATATTTCGCAAACATACAACCACAGACGTAATAATTCCCAAACATTCATTCAACTCTACTGAACATAAACAGGCATCATTTCGTTTTCTTTTCAATAGATTACAAAAAGTACCGTTAGGAATACTTTATATATAAGAATAACAACAATAATTGTCTTATGAACGACCTAGCGGATGTTAATAATTATAGACTTTTCATCAAATACATGTAATAAGTGATTTCCATATAATCCATTGATAGATGTTTCATATTTATATAGATGAGAAATAGAATTTAAAAGTTATAAAATAGATACAACATGTTTCCGCTTTCTAGAATAAGATATCGCCTTTCTTCTCTCTTCAATAATTCTTTAACGAAACCAGTTTTTTCGTCCTTTTGTGTGAAGAGTACTTTTTTTGACTTGTTATATTTTGTTGTTAAGTTCGTGATTTTTGCATGTTTTTAATATGTTATCGTATCATCGCCGTTTATTTTACTTTCCGACATACATCATATTGATTTTTAAATATTCTTTAACGGATAATTATTGTAAGTACACTATTTGTACAATTGACCATTTTGTATTCCTTTTTTATTGATTTTTAGAACAACTTTGAGTCAAGATCATTCATCCTAAAGAAATTGATGTCATTTAATATTTAAATTACATTTTGACAGTAATTATGTTCTTTGCTTTTATATTTTATATCATAATATCCTTCTAATACATTTTTGTTATTATAGTTGTGCCTCAGGAAGACCATTATATGGTCGAATACTATAGTAAGCACTGAATAATATAAATAAATAATTCTATCATTGTTACACGAATT